TTTTTTTTTTAAAGTAATTTCTTATTTAGATTAAAACCTTTATTCTACTTTCCCATATCTTATTGTTTCCTTCTTTAATCATTTTTTTAAAAAAATTGATGACCATCTTATATTGGTTAATGATTGTGTTGTCCCAATGCATTTCTACATTATTATTTTCTTAATTGAGATATAATATTAAAAAATGTACAGATTATAGTGTACAATTTCTGACAAATATTAACATCACCTTTTTTACTTTTTAAATTTTCATTTTGTTGTTATTGTTAAGAATATATAACATGCACCAATTCAGCAGTTTCTACATGCAGAATTCAGCCCATGGTTCTATTCTGTGAGTTGTGCCATCATTCTTACCCTCCTTTTCTGAGTTGTTCTTCTCCCATTAACATGAACTCAGTGCCCCTTCAGGTTCCTATCTAATCTTTCGACTTGCTGTTGTCATGATCCCATATATGCATAGGTAGTTCCTAAAAGAGCATAATGTTCAAGGCAGACGTTTACTACTTCAGCTAAACTATCCTTTGGTTTTAAGAAGACTTCAGGGGATATTTTTGGTTTAAGGTTTAAAGATGATTTCAGGGCAGCAGTTTCAGGGGTTCATCCACCTCATATGACTCCAGGAAGTCTAGAGTCCATGAGAATTTGAAATTCTATTGTCTATTTCCTCCTTTTTGGTCAGGAATCTTCTGTAGAATCTTTGACTAAACCTTGTGCCCTTTTCTATTTAATCCTATATGTAACCACTGGTTTTGTTACCATCATTAGATATGCATATAGTTGAAATTCATATAAATTGAATCAGACTGTAAGTGCTTTTTTGTCTCTGACTTCTTATGATCCACATGTACTTTCGAAATGTATACTATTTGTTCATTTTTATTGCTGACTTGTATTTCATTATATGGATATTCCATAGTTTGTTTACCCTCCTGTTGATGGACATTTGGGTTGTTTCCTGTTTGTGGCTATTAGGAATAAAGCTGCTATAAACATTGTGTAAGGATCAGCACTGACCTGGGAGCCATAAGGTTGGCAGTTCAAACCTACAAGCTGCTCCTCAGAAACCCTATGCAGAGTCGCCATGAATTGGAACTGACTCAATGGCACTTGATAACAACAAGAAACATTATAGTGTGAGACTTTGTGGGCATATGCTTCCACTTCTTTTGAGCATAAATCTAGGTGTGGAATTGCTGGTTCATAGAGTAGGTATATACTTTATTAGAAATTACCAAAGAATTTTCCCAATTGGTTGCCCCATTTTACTAAGGATAATTATATTGATGAGCTTTTTATCTATTGTTCATTTATATATCTTCTTTGGTTAAGTTTTTTTTAATGTCCATTTTTAATTGAGATTCTGATCTTTATATTAATTTATAAATATTTGTCATATATTCTGGTTTGATTCTTTTGTGATTTATGTTTATATATATATATAGTTCTGGTGTGGCACTATAGTATAAGCACTAGATTGCTAACTGCAATATCAGCAGTTCAAATCTGTCAGCTGCTCCTTAGAAACCCTATAGAGGGTCACTATGAGTCGGAACTGATTGGACAGCACTTAACAATAACATATATATGTATATATGTGTGTTTTTTTCTTTTCCTCCCAGTCTGTGGCTTGCCTTTTTCACTTAACTGTGGGGATTACAAAGATTTTTTCTTATGTTTCCTCCTATAAGGTTTATAGTGCTACTTTTTACATTTCATTATGTGAGCTATAATATTTATGTATGGTCTGAAGTAGGGATCAAGGTGTATTTTTTCTATATGTCTTTTTTTATCCAGTAATTGTAGTACCATTTGTTGAAAACACATTTCCATATTTAATTGCATTACTATTTTAGTAAAAATATACCAACATTATGCATGTGCATCTATTTTTAAACTCTATTCTATTTATTAAGGAGCCCTGGTGGCATAGTGGTTAATCTCTTGGCTGCTAAATGAAAGGTTGATGGTTCAAACCCACCAGCTGCTCTGCTCTAAGGAAAGAAGATAGGCCAGTCTGCTTCCGTAAAGATTACAGCCTTGGAAATCCTACAGGGCAGTTATAATCTGTCCTAGAGGGACACAGTCGAAATCAACTTGATAGCACAATAATTCAATTTTTTGTTTATTTCGTATCCCATTTGTCTGCTCTTACGCCGTTTCACACCGTCTTAATTACATGGCTTTATAGTTATTGTTAAATTTTGGTGGTGTTAGACCTCCAAATTTGTTCATTTTTTTTCAAACTGGAAGAGGAAATAGATGCACACATATATGTCCAAGGAAAATGTCAAGGTAGTTTAGTGAGGGAGAGGATAATCTTCTCAAAAAATGGCACTGGAACAAAGGGAAACTTCTATGCAAAAAGCATGTCCTGGTGTGATGCTGTAAGATAAGCACTGGGCTGCTAGTTGCAGGGTTGGCGGTTCAAACCCACCAGCTGCTCCTCAGAAACCCTATATTGGACTACTATGAGTCAGATCCGATGCAATGGTACTTAAAGAAAAGAGAGAAAGAGAGAGAAAAGCCTTGACACGTACCTTGTATTATATAAAAATATTAACTCAAAATGGATTATATAACAAAATGCTGCAAAACTTTAAAAGATTTAGAAAACTTGGGAGAAAAAATTTTGTAACCCTCAGACAGGCAAAGATTTTTAATATGGGACACAGAAAGCATGATCATTGTAAGAAAAAATGATATATTGGAGTTCATCAAAAGTAAAATATGCTCTTTAAAAGACACTGTTTAGAGAATGAAAAGCCATAGACCATAAAAAAAATAATAGTATTGTCCTCTTCAAAGACTTAACAGAAGAATGTTCATAGCAGATTTACTTACAATAGCCAGAATCTGGAAATGGCCCCAATACCTGTCAAAAGGTATATGATGAATAATGGAATACAACTCAGCAGAAAAAATAAGAGTAAATTACTGGTATGCATAATAACATGAGTGAAACCAAAAATAGTGTTATAAAGATTTATAGCCTCAGGAACCCTATAAAGGTTGCTATGAGTTGGAACCTACTGAATGGCACTTAACAACAACATGATACATTGGAAAAAGGCTTTAAAAATATTCCCTGTCTTGACTGAGATGGTCCATATATGAGGGACTGTCAGACAGTTTGTAGAAAAATTCCATTATCTTCTAACTCCTTTTTTCCATAAAAATTTCCATAATATTTATTAAAATATTTTACTGTACACTTAAAATTCTGTATATTTTGTTGTATGCAAAATTTACCTTAGCTTTAAAAATAGGTAAATGTGACAATTCTAGTTTACCCCAATGTTCTTCCA